ACTGCAGTACAACTACAAGTACAAGTCAAGTCCAAAAGGATCTAGGACTAGTACTAGGAGCCGCCTGCGTCCGCAGACTCACGCTGCACAACACGTAGACGTGGACGTGTTCAGTCCACGTACGTCAGTCACACGACAGCCCGCCGAAAAAAAGTTACGGTCGGGCTGAAAAATGTACGGTCGGTCGGGTGAGTCGAACCACAGACCTTCTTCAGTGTGGCCTAACTGTTATTGCGTACATAGACCACCCTTTTCAGGTGATCTACGGATATTTCCCCTACAGTCCATTTCAAAACTATAGACGCGTACCTAGGCAAAAACCGTTATGCCAGCATCTATACCACATAAAATCTGTGATCACTTTGTGCATAAATTTTTCCAAATTGGGCGTCTGTTATCCAATCCTTTAGAAACTATATGAGAGTAATTGTGGAGCGATCCTGAGCAATATTCCGAAAACTATTCTCAAAAAGTTCCAGCCAAATTTGAAATATTTCAAAAACCCTACGCGTCTATAGTTTTGAAATGCACTGTAGTTTGAGGGGATTATGGCTCATAATCCCCTCAAACGAGGGGATCTCATATCCACAGGAAATCCTGTGGATCCCCTCGGACGGTGGGTCGGACCCAGTCCTTCTACCAGCATAACCAAGAGAGCTAGCTCCCTTGGCTGCTGCTTGAATATGCAAGAATGGGCCTTCCAGATAAGGTCTAAAAAGGGGAAGTGGCTATAGTTGTCAAAAGAAAAGCATATTGGTGAAACAAAACTAGGGAAGTGGCAATCTTTCTATCAGCAACAAACAAGAGCATCTTAATTTGCAACATGCTACATGAACCGGGTGTGCCGAACACCCGTAACCATAGAGACACACCACACTCTCATTATAGATACTGGTTATAAATAGACCGAGTAAGGAAAATAATCCAATAGCCTATGATATGGAGAGTAAAAGAAATTGAGTCAATGACAACAAATGCTCGTCCAGCACACGAGTTGTCATAGAAACATTGAACGAAATGACAAAAACGCACAGTAATGAGCATCGCCGTTCAATGCAAACTTTGGTTTCTAGTACAGTGTTTGGAAAATTCCTTCTTTCACAGACCTGAAAGATAAATCTTTGCAGCAGTTAGCCTACTACTAACTCAATGTCATTGGTTCTACATGTACGTGTAGATGTGTACGTGTAGATGTACCCATTCACGCTCTACTGGTCTTGTCAAATTTGTTCCACACGATCACAAACAATCCATCTTATTTCGGATACTCTTCAACGACACCATTTGACTAAGCCATAGGACGGACGTCAGTGCCTGACAATTCTTCATTGTAGTCTTTGATTTGTAGGGAATAAATCGCCTCCACGCCGGTAGGTGACAGACGAACAGAGCACCTCAAATTATTTTCAAATAATTACAATATCTACTATTTCGTCGTCTTCACTTGATCGCTATCAGTATCGCTTTTCCCCACGGTCTTGTCAGCTACCAACAAGCAGCAGAGTTCATGAGGCTTCGTCTTGGGAGACAAACCAAAGAAAGTGTGTGACAATCCGCATTCGCCTCAGTCAAACCAATAAGTGGATCAAAACCTGGAGAGGCGACGAACAAACGACTATATCAGAACTACCGGTACTTCGCGTTCGGTGTTCCGTTCACAGACTCAGTGCACTGGTTCATGCTGCATGCAGCGCTGCTGATCATTGGAAAAGTGTGGTCTACCTATCTCTTAGCCTGTCAAACCCTATATATAGGGTCTTTATGTGTGGCGTTATGTCAAACCCTATATATAGGGTTTCCTGGTGACAGGCTAAGAGATACAGGATATTGCACAGTGTCCGCGAGGATTATTTTTCATAATCCCCGCGGCGCTGCGCGCCTTGGGGATTTGAAAAATAATCCCCTCGGAACCGTGCAATATCCTATACATAGGCTACTAGTACTACTACTAGTATGTGGATAGGTGACCTGGTGACCAGGTGACTGTACGTCCTAAGCTAGCTAAAGGTCCGCCATTGCCATTGGCCCAGCTGCAGGCCTCCGGCCCCACCATCCAGTGGTGGGCAAAGACTGGAGCAGTACATGTCTGATGACTGACCTGTAGGTGTTGGCGGATAATGCTCGGTAATATGGGATATAATGCTCTCAGTAATGCTCCACAAAAGGCCATATAATGCTCCAAATAATGCTGATAATGCTCCGCCGGATGGAATAATATAAACACCTGAACCTTGCGGTATTGGGCTAAGAAAAATGCTATAATATTGCACCCATGCTATGATAAACACATAATACAATATCAGGTAAACATGTACGCTATGTACAAACACATACAGTCATATTGAGGCAGGTGATGAGTTCCCTTGCCAATTAGGAGCCGTTGAGGCTCTTTGCCAGGACATGAAGCCGGATGAGGCGCTGCTGGAGCGACCAGCTTGAATCCACATATCTTATCACTATTACCAATGCCTCCCCAAGGTGAGTGTGTCCATCAAATACCACGGAACAAAACCGGGCCTCTTTCATTTCTTCCTTCAGCTGCTTCGCTTCCTCCTCTAGGAGGAACGGCACATAGAGTGACAAGTGGCTCGAGTCAGTCAATCATTCGTTTCTGTCAGACTCCAAAAGCGGTCGTAAGAAATCAACCTTTGCGAGTGGGATTCCTGCTTGCAACATAGAACGCACAATCTGGATCCGCCGCAGAGATTCAGCTGAACTAACGGCCTGAGTAAGACCGGTGCCAGCTAGAGCCTTCCCAAGTCGTTTCTGATACGCCAAGAAGGACTCCTTGACCAGCTTCTGCCTCTGAGTTTCCCTCTGCAAACGAGACTTTCCTTGTTTGTGTCTCGCGGTAGCAATATGGGACATGGTTATACTCTTCTTCCCTGACAATGTTGTATGGCATGCCAGGCACACTAACTTGCCACAATCGCTTTTGAGCGGCTCATCTGGGAACTCCCGCACCCGTGTTTCGGCACTGATGGCCACTTCAGTGCTCTGTCCATGAGCTACTCGCGTCCTTTTGGAAACATTTTCAGACTTGGTAATAGCTGTTTTCTGAACTTGAAGACCGCTTCCTCGCTATCGCGGCAGGATCTGCAGTTTCCAACTCGACGACGTCACTATCATCAGAGGACTCCGCCAAAAGCTCATCTGAAGAAAGCCCAGCTTCCTCCCAATCCCAAGAACGGCATCGCGGCGAGTCACTGAGCCATCAGCGTTGGCTGCTAGTTAGCTGGTCTTACACAATGGTCAATATCCGGTGAAAGTCCAGCGTTACTCTTCGACAAAGACATGGACTCTTGCTTCGATGAAGAATGTTTTTTTGTAACACTGTGGACTGTAACCGGGTAAGGTCTGGAATGTGTGCGGGTGCGCACCTCCACCGTTCCATGCTGGCTCACATTTGTTTCGTTGGTTCGGGGTGGTTACCTGGATCTTCAAAAAGTTTAAATAGTTGCTGGCGCATGGCCGAAGATAAACTTCCGGGACCGGAAGTTTCTGCGAGAGTTTCCACACTGTGCTGGACCTCAGCTACCACATCCACAGACTGTCAGTGCCAAGATCTGTTTGGTATCATGCATGATAATTATGTGTACGGTGGTCTATCGCTTGTAGTAATACATCGCGTATAGTAATAAATGTTGCCAATCCAAGACAAGACCAACAATAGCCGATACGAATCTGTACATGACGATGTGTGTAGATCTACTATGCAGTCATGTAGAACGTCGTATAATGCCACTTTTGGCCTCGTAATGCTTTATAATGCTCGTGATGCTCCGGGTGGTGTCTAATGCTCGATATAATGCCGGCATTATCCGCCAACACCTACTGACCTGTACATGTGGTAGCAAGAGCACCCAGGGAGCTTATCGTTTCTAGTACAGTAAAACTTCCCTGATCCGGACACCATGGACACCATGGACACCATGGACACCCTGGACACCATGGACACCATGGACACCATGGACACCATGGACACCCTAAAAAGTAAACGTAAACAGCTAGAATGGGCTGATGTTTCAGCTATAATCAATATTTTTCATAATAATCGAAACTCTCTGCAACCCACCCACCCATGAACGAAACTTTTTCTCTTCATGAAAAGGATCGATAGATAATAATAATTATTGTGTAAGTGCATGTTCCGAGTTCGAGCAATTCCTAGTTACGGGCAATGCTCGGTCCGAACGCACCCGGAAAAGGGGATTTTTTACTGTACTCTCGCTCGCGGTTTTCCTGCCGACTTGAATTCTCACTTGACTGACTCACGACTGCCATCCAGAGCTCACAAGAAGTCTATCCAACCTTCCACTCGCCGGCACACCTGCAAGAAAGCACCACTCCCTGCTCAAAACACAATGTTTCGGGGAGTTCACCCCTCATCAGTTGAGCTTGAGTAGGCCGAGGAGGATTGTGCCGGACAGCCGAGCATGTTTTGCGGGTAACAATGCAGAACCTGGAAAGTACTGAGTATTTGAAAAATACGCCAACCAATTCGGAGAAATCCCCAGTGAAAATGCGTATGATAAAATTTAATAATATCGTGCACCCATTGAAGATCACAGTACTTGGGGAGAGGCCAAATAGTTACGTAGTTATAATTGCGCGATACGCGAAACCACCAAACCGCTATAGCTTATTCTTCCACTGATACGACCCGTGGCGTCGGGTTAGAGTACATGTATATGTCCGAAGGATCAGCATGTGGGTTGGAGTTGTTAAAGGTGTGTGCCTTCTTCCATGTACTGGTCAATACCGTATTTTCCGGAGTATAAGCCACACCCAGATTTGTTGTCACGAAATACAGACATCTGCCGTGACCAGCCGCACAGACTTTTCTTTTCTTTAATATCATCAGCCTTTTCGCGTTGACACCACCAAGCAAGCTTGGCTTTATTTTTAGTTTTTGCGGCTTTAATACTCCGGAAAATGCGGTACCCATGTCAGGAAAGCTATCTTTAGTCGCTGAAGAACACCAGGATTGCAGAAGGCACTAACTTGCGTATTGCGTTGTCTTCCAGCGTATTCGGTTCATGTCCACTATCTAGTCAATTATTTGTCAGCGCGAGAAAGGAGCAGAATGACTGATGCAATAGCCAATAATACCCACTCTCCTATTACTTCCAAGTAAGTTCCATGTCTCCCACAGATATAGTTACTGTACCGCGGTACCGGTACGTAACTGGTTCTTCAGGAAATTGACAGACAGTCAAACCTAGAAATTTCCGAGACTGTGAAGAATAAAAGCATACTTGAACTGTTTCAAGAATAAAGAATAAACCCCAAACACAAAACTTCAGAGCCGATAAAGTTAATGAGCTGATACTAGAGCAAGTCGTAAAGTTGCGACACTAATGCTGAAACCATTCCAAGCAGACGTCCATATGCTGATTTTCCGACAGAAGAAGGCTGATATGATGATGGTGTAAGAGGTGGCCTTGGCATATTTGTCGATGCGTTCG